TTTAAATAAAACAATAATAATATTATTTTTTAATAAAAATTTTAACTTAAGAATATATAAAATTAATACCTATAATAAAAGTGTTAAATATATTTTTAAAACTAGCTTCATAAGAAAATTAATTCAAAGAAGCTAAATTTATGCGAAATTAATTTGGCTTAAATAAATTAATTTTATTAATCTTATTAAAAATATTTATAATTATAAAAAATATAAATTTCAAAAGAATAGTATTTTCGTTTTCTTATTTATGCAAAAATACAAAGTGATATGGAGTTTTATATCGAAAAGTAGAATGTAAAAGTTGGTCTTTAATTAAGAATAACTTAAAATTGAAACTCTCAAATGAAAAAGTTAAAAATTAAAAAAATTGAAAATTAAAAACTTATTGTGACACAATAATAAAAAGTCAATCCCTTAGTGAAATTTTCTCCTTGTCTTGTTATTCGTAACACCGTGTTTGGCTTTAACAAATTTGATTGTGTATAGAAGTGTTGCTGAAGAACAAAAGATAGTGTGAGAAAAGAGATTATTCCTCCCACTATTATCAGTGACTTTTAGATTAAAAAATATTTCATTTATTCTTTATGTTTTTTCAAAAAATAAATATTGTGGTACTCATAAGAATTATATTTATATTTCTTATCTCAAAAGTCAAAACCTCATATTTTATAACCAATCGCGATGCTTCCCATTTACAATTAAATGTTGTTTCAGAATAAAACAAGCAAAATCGTAATTCTTATTTTATCACTAGAAGACTTCAGTTGTGCCAAGCACAGTCGGCCCGTTCTTGATTTAGCATTATTTCTTTCATATCCTAAACGGAATGTGCAATCATGCTCCTCAAACATAAGATTTATAACAAATGGAACAAGTCTGCTAGCATCGACACAAACATAACATATGATTCCATGAACTAACAGTAAATAGTTATAAGCTGAGCATGTACAAAAACAAAGAGCACAAATAAAGAATTTGGGCATCATGCCACCCATATTTCATCAGGATCGGCCCTGGCCCAGGGCCCAGCCCAATTCATTTAGGGGCACCTGACCGGCCCACTGCCTTTTATCTCATTTTAGTTTTGTTCTTAAAAAAAAAAAAAAAAGAAAATGAAGTATGACGCACAATTCAATGAGGGGAATGAACATTTATGGCATAAAATCTCCTTAAAAGTAATTAAGATCTTACTTTTTTTCTTCCCAATAATTTTTTTCTCACTCTCACTGTATGTTTCTCTCTCCCTCTCTCTATTTAATTATATGTTACTCCCTCCTTTTTTAAATAAATGTCGTTTTGACTTTTTTGATTCATTCATTTGGTTATGTATCTAGACATTAATATGTCTACATACATAGCAAAATGAATGAATCAAAAAAGTCAAAACGACATTTATTTAAAAAAGGAGGTAGTAGTATATTATTATATTACTAGTACGTACCCCGTGCGATGTACGAGACAAAAATATTAAATGAGTTATTTTCACAGCTTTTTCCGTTTAAGTCTAAAAAGTAATAGTGTTATTATCTATTTTTTACCAGTTTTAATCAACGTTAAGTCTAACAAACAATAGGGTTATAAGTTTTTTTCCACATCTTTTAACCAATTTTGTTCTTTTAGCCACAATATTAAATATGAGCATGTTATGGCTAACTTGTAAAATAATTAATATATTATCTAACTAAAACATTTATACTAATAAAAAATTAATTTTTGCATATAAATTTATCCCTTGCTATAAGAGAAAGTAATAGTTTTCTTTATTCTTGTTCACCATATAATATTTAATTATTATTTTATTATATAATAAAAAGAAATCTATGAAAATTATTAAGCCGCCTTCTGACAAATATGTATTGAACTATGTGTTCGTGTCTCATAAGTCACAAACATAATGAATAACATTACAAATTATTCATTCAAATTTTTATTCATTGCAAATATATTAAAATAGATTATATAACGGTCATTAAATACCACTTTCAATATATTTATAAATAAAAAGTACATAAAATTTCTGGTATGTTTAAATTTAAATAATTTTTTATGGGCTCAATTTTAAATTATCCAGACATTTGGTCAAACGCATAGGTGTGTTCAAATTTAAATCATTGTCATTTTGTTCGGTTGAAATTTAAATCATCTATCATGATACTGTGATGTGTATTATATATATATATACAATTTTTTAGCAAATAATATGTGCTTTATAAAAATAATAATAATAATTTCACAAGATTTTAAATATAAAATCTGGTTTTTAATCACAATAGAAAAATCATGATAAGTTGTATTGAAAATGTCTTATGGGATAAAATAATTAAATAAAATACTTGATGGAAATAGAATTAATGCATTAATTACCTTTGACTTTTCTTACTACTAAATTTGGTAGATAGAATGACCTTTTATATAAGTATAGATTTCAAGTACCCTAATTATCTTATTTACTTTTGAAAAAAAATATATATAATTTTCTTTTAAAACCTTATATTATTTTATAGTAGTTATAATTAGTTTATTATAGTTTAGATTTGCTTCACTACTTAAAAATGTTTAACTTTCTACTTGATTATATGTTATATATTATTACATTATTTTAAATTCCATATTTATCTTATTTACTTGTAAAAACTTTTTATATAATTTACTTTTAAAAAGTTATATTATTTTTTTGATAGCATTATAATTAATTTATAGTTTAAATTTGCTTCACTAGTTCAAAATATTTTCAAGGAAGTTTGAAATTTGTTTAATGTATATTTAAACAGATTTAGTAATATTTAATGAAAACACCTATTATCTTTTATCATGTCATTATCTTTTATTACTGTAATGATTTTTTTAATTGGATTTTCTTGTAGTTGCTAGCTTTTTTTATGAGGTTGCATTTTTTTTAAGCTATATAATTCTATTATTTAATTTTTCCGAATAAAGAAATGGATTATGAATTCTATACTCGGGCATTATTTTCGTGTTGGCCCAGGGCTTTATAATGTTCAGGATCGGCTTTGTATTTCATGCTCCAACTTTTTAAATGAAATTCTTCATGAGCAATTCATAATTTATTTGAATTTTGAGCAATATAAATCTATTTACATGCCTTAGGCAAAGCTAATGCATTGTCCCTTTACAAATATTTGAGTCAGTGGGACATTATCTGAAGATCTGAAGATTAATAATATAACAAATAACCACCAATAAAAACGAAATAACATCATGATGGTGGGATCTTAGTATCTGACCTTCACTTCCAATAGTGTACAAAACATTGTGCATGAGATTCCTGCAACATTAGAAACATAAATATATTGATACTTGGCATTCTTAACAGTTGACATATCAATTATTCAATAACACGTGGGCTAGATATTTAACCATCCCATGACACGCAAAAGAATTTTGTTAACTTAGATACAGATTGGCATGGACAAACACATAGTGACGTGCAAACGACCTCAACCGACTCCTGCAACCTAGATTCCGCACTCGACCCGTTCGATAGGCTTGCAAAACAGTGTCGGGAGTGGTCTCGACGTAGGGACTCCTACAATTAAGTCAGAATACATATGAAGAAGACGATGAAAAGTATCTGCATAGTTTGTAAGTATATAAGTGTACGTAGAGTATAAAATCATACATCACTCCTTTATAGAAGAGAGTTACTCTGTTTCCCAAGACTTTCTGGTTGGGCTGCCCGATATAGCCATTCGCACTGCTCGAGTGCACGCCACGTGTTTTATCCATTTGTGCTTCTTATCTTAATAATATTCTTCTAATCTCTTAGGTGGTGTGTGTCTCTCTCATTAGGTGGTTTAACTGTGCAACCAGATCAGCTACCCTTCAACCAAGTTGCTTCGACCTCTCATTACCGACCCGATTGCCTCCATGTCGAGTTTCTATCAGGCTAGCCGAGAACCCTAACTCGACTTGTTGACAATCTCCATTACTTATGAAATCACCATTGATCTAGTGATTCTTCAACCTCCGATGCCCTTGATGCCCGAACGACCGTCGGTTCACCCAGTTTAATCAAACCGTTCCTTAGATCTTATTCGACATGATGTAGTATCTCATATCATATAGAATAAAGCAAAGGGAAATCTAACGGATCCTTGAATCAGTAAGTCCAGTCAACAAATCCTACAACATTACAACAAAATCAATTGATGTGAAAATGATAGATAATTAAGGTTATATGAACATGACTAAATTCAGTTCCGTAATTAGTAAGTTCAATTATCATCAAATATGTCAATAAACTATCAATTATTCTTTTGAAAATAGTTCAAATTGACATGAATTATCAATTGAATTCACAACCTTAGAGCAAAGATAAAGGTAAGCAATGGAGATAGAAATATACATAAATATCAAGGTAAACAACCGACTACTTTGAAAGATATCTGATATATCTTGTTTAATTATAACATCCGAAGAACCAAATTGTCACCACATTTAATCCAATACATAAAACCACTACTTCGAAAGTAAATGCAAGTCTGTTAAACTAAATTACACATTCAAATCACCAAGACAATGAATTATGAAACTGAATGAAATGGCTTGAAAGTCTTGAGTGACTCCACGAGTCCTTCAATAGCCCCAGCAGCCGCAAGTAGTGATATGATGAGGCAAATGCCGCTCAGTATCTGCATCCAAATCCACGTAAAGGAAAATCTGGGGATTTTCGACCTCGCAATGTACATCTCTATTGGGAAATAAACGGTCAATGGCCAGAAAGAAGCCGCTCCTAAGAGTCCCACAAAGTTGTTGAAGAATGGGAATAGCATAGCAAAAACGGTTGTGAATATCACGTAAAAACTTCTCCACACAAGCCTCAGCATATTCAAGTTGAACTTCCCACATGCTAAAGGGTATTCCCCCACAATAAATCCACTTTCTGGCCATTTTTCTTTACTCCATTTTTCTACTAATCCGAATATCGGTTGTGCAAACACCTAGATATGAAGATATCATGATTTGCAACATTGGATTTCAAAAGGTTGAAAGGGAACCAAAATTGGCATAGCAATTTACCTGGTAAGCTCCAACGAGATGAATTACAATACAAAGATTAGCAATGTCGACGAGCCAAAATGGCTCATAGAATCCGAATCCTGTCAAGAAATTTCCAGGCGCGTCATTGCCAAACGCGGCATATCCCAGAACACCACATAGCATATAAAAGACTGTAGTGATTGAGTTTCCAATTAAAGTAGCCTTCTTCATTACTTTGCTCTCAGACACCCCTGCTTTTATCGTGTCCTATGATCATTGAATCCAACAACAAATAAGAATGTTTACTTATAAAACTAAGAAAAAGATGTCGTCGTATTGATGATACCTGTATCTCTATAAGGACAGTAGAGAAAGCATAAGCAAATGCAATGTTGCCAAGGGCGTTAAAGGTACTCCACATCTTATTCATGCCCGACATTTTGTCTCCAATCGGTATTCCGGTGAGGCTGCTCTCCACATTTCCTCCTTCTATACAAATGATAAGAGAAAAATAATTTATAACTATTTTTGCTCAATCATATATATATATAGTTAACTTATACTCCATGTTTCTCTATTATTGGTAATAAATGGTGACCTGCAATCTTGGCTATGGAGAGAGCAAGGCCAATGGAGGAGTAAGCAAAAGACATAACAGCTGCTACAAAAGAAAGAATTGATAGCTCATGAAAGTTTGGTATTTGGCTGAGAACTATTTGTATTAATCCAAAAGTCATAATGTAAGGATTGTTTGATATGTGACAGCCAGCTTCATGCCCATTCTGGTGGAAACAGTTTGATCTCTTGATGGCCCTGATTAAAAAATAAATAAATAATTCAAACACATTAAATATTATGAGATCTTCTAATTAATCTATATATATATATAATTACTGGCTAATGAGCATTTAATAAAACCTATTAAATACCGTTACTTTTTATTCATTTAACCTCTCATTTAATTATTAGGTAATCAATACACTAATTACTTTAAAATTACAAAAATCATTTTAAATTTTATAATTACTTACAGTTGACCATATAATGTGTTGACTATTTAATGTGAGTAGATGTTATTGTTGTGGTTACATTTAAATTAACTTCTTTCGGAAAATAAAAAAACATATTTGAAATTCCTAAATAAATAATACGTAATTCACAAAAAAAAGATACATACCACAATATACATTATATCCAATATGATAAACGCAATTTAAAAAATTTAAATATTTCAGCTCCTTTAATTGTAAATTTAACAAAAATTATTAATCATTATATGTATACAAATAACTCACAATATTTTATTTATATATTTGTGCAAATGCACAAGTTGAATACTAGTTCAGCTAAAGGCACTCGTAATTAACATAATCAAATAGTACTTACACTATGCTGATAGAGGCTGTGATAGAGTATCCAATAGTTATTCCAACAAGGTTGCTATATTGTGCAATCCCACAAAGCTGAATATTCAATCCTCCTGCACACAATATTATTTGTGAAATTGTAATATTGATTTTGCATGTTTAGTTATTATATGAATAATATTGCAGTCAAATATGAGTTATATAACTTGATATAGGATATTATATCGGACCCTGTTTAATGGATAAAGCGAATACATATTGGAAGATAAGCCCACTAAGACATCTAAGCCCAACTTGGGCCCAAAAGGTACACTCCCCCTATAAAAGGGGGCCAAGGTATCTCATTCTCTCATCCTCTCCTAATTACATTACTACACTTTCTCTCTCTTGATCTGAGCACTGACTTAAGCATCGGAGGCCCGACGCCGGGGCCACTCCCGGCGTTGGGTTCTGCAAGTACGGAGGCCGGTTCGAGTTGAAGGAGTTCGGGTGAATCTTATTCACTTCATAACTAAATCTTCATAATTTAACGGTCTATTTTTTTTAAAAAAAAAAATAAAATTCAATGTTTATCTAATAAATTTACCTTAATTCTTGATATGTTTCTCACACAGCTTCACTTTGGCCTCAATAAATTGATTGCATGCCTTGAATATAACTTACCAATATAATAAAAAGCATTAAATTTTTACCTAGATGGGATTTGACAACCTCTTTGTAAGTGTAATTTCTTGTACCATCACTGGATCGGTAGCAATCAGCCAATAGTATAGATGTAAACCATGTAATAACTGAAAACGCCAACAAGGCAATGGGCCCAGCAACCCAACCCAATTGAGCAATGGCCCAAGCTAGAGACAATACACCCGACCCAATCACAGCAGTAATTATATGTGCAGTTGCTGTCAACATTGTACCTGTTTAAGACCCAAAAAGTGCAGCACCATTATCAAATCATACCTTTTGAGACTTATAACTTCGAATTAAAAAAAAGTATCAATTTAGAGTTTTTAGAGAATAGAATACAATCACGGGATCCCGAGAGACCATATTCCAAACAAACTAGATCAGAGTTTTTAATTATTATAATTCTTTATCTCTCCTATGTATAATTCCCGAATGTGTGCTGAGCCTAAGTGTGAGGCTGGCACGCTGCGGGATCCTATGTGACATATTTTGAAGCTTTATTGCTTATCTTGGATGAATTTAATTTATTTTCGATCTAAAAGTAACAAGGTTTGGAATATCTATAAATATATTGGATATTTATGTTATTTTTTAAGAGAATTAATTATATTTTAATATCATTTCTTATTGTAGACATGATTTATTAGGTATAATTTTTTTCTCGATTTTTCCTTTTCTCATATTTTTTTTTAAATTATAAAAAATTTACTAACTTGAATCATAAATATATCTAAAAGTTAATAAATTTATTATTTATTAACAATTGTTTATATATAATGTGTCAAATTAATCATGTCTTGATGAGTTTTGATTTGACATTTATACCATCCATACAAAGAATATATATAAAAATTAAGTATCTTTATGATTAAAATTAAGTTACCTTTATATATTAATTCAAAAAAAGTAAAAAATTTCAAACTAATTTAACTTTTTTAATTTATATAAAATAAAAAAATACATAATATTAGACGGTAAGTCGTGTAAGAGACGGTGCCGTTTTAAATATAATTAATAATATATTTTTTAGAAAGTATTTTAAAACCAATACAATTTTTGTTGTTATTATTATTTAAATTTAGGTATAGTTTTATTAACAATTACCCGTGTAGTACACGGATATTGTACTAAAATATAAATTATAATGTCTCAATTATACTTCTCGACCCTCGATCAACTTAACATAAATGAGATTAAAGAAAATAACAAGGAACATTAATTTATCTCATAGGAGAAGTAATGAAATATACTGCATAATATTTTTAAATAGCAAAAATAAAAATGACTATTTTTTTTTTATATTTTTATCCAAATAAGTTTGCAAAACTTATGAGTATAAACATAATTAAATAACTATTTTGAATTTTTAAATTCAAATAATATGCAAATTATATGTTAAATGATCATTTATTCAAAGAAAAAAAGGACAATAAAAATATTCATAACAATGATTTATGAATAAACTACTACAAATTTATAGAATTTCACATTAGAAATCATGAATTCGAAGTGTCAGAATAAATATAACCACCAATTTAATGTCCCAAATTGAAATAAATAAATAAATAAATAAATAAATAAATAAATAAATAAATAAATAAATAAATCACTTATAGAATGAAAAGAAAGAATTTACCTGTTCGTTTAGCACGGCCATCATCATCATACTTGGAAAAATCATTTCCAGCTTCAGTGTTCAAGCTTGTTACCATCCTCATTATAATTATCTTTAGTTTATTATAATTATCAGATTTATGTTTGTTTGGTATTTTTTTTTTTCTTTTTTGTTGTTAAAATTGCGATATCTAATATAAGGCAAATGTATTAATTTATTATGGATGGATTTCATTATAAAGCCCTAGGATTCGATTTCATAAATATTGCTACTTTTAATAATCACGAGATTTGCACAATCATATATAATTCAGTTTTTCTAAATTACAAGAAGATTTATCATATAATTATGAGCTCATTATGGTTATTACATGAATTAGTACTTGATTATATGTTCGTATAAATGCACTGATGCAAAAAATGTTATATGCAATATATAGATAGATATAATATGGGAAAATTTCAAAATTAGTCCCACATGTATAGGGGGTGACATTTTTTGTCCCAACGGAATCCAGAAAATATTAATAGTCCTGCAGCTTTTAAAAAATTATCAAAAGTAGGACTTTTTTCAATTTTCCGGCCCGGAATGCCACGTGGCCACATTCATCTGACGTGACTGAGTACAATGACAAGGAAAAAAAAATCAAAACTAGTCCCACAGGTTTTGGGAGGTGACATTTTTGGTCCCAAAAGAATCAATAAAATCTTAAATAGTTCCGTCACGTATGTGCCACGTGGCATTCCGGGCAGGAAAACTGAAAAAAGTCCTACTTCTGATTAGTTTTTAAAAGCTGCGGGACTATTAATATTTTTTGAATTCCGTTGGGACCAAAAATGTCACCCCCTATACCTGTGGGACTAGTTTTGAAATTTTCCCGATATAATATCCTCCCTATATATAATTCCAGAATGCGCTGAGCCTACGTGGCTGCTTCTGGTGCTTCGGAATCCTATTTGGCGAAGAATCATGCTTCGTAATTAGGTTTGGACAGATAATATTAATATATTAATAATTAATAATCTAGGTTCGGGTATACCATAAATATTATTTAGCTAACTTAGGTATTTTAATATCACTTTTACTAATATAATCTTTTAATTCCTTGTAATTTTACATAATGAGGCACTAAGTGACTAATATATCCCTAAATTTTGATTTGCTTCCTTCAATAAGCTATTGAAATATAAATGTATTTTAAAAGTAGATAACTTTTGTATTTCTTATCGGTTTTACATATATAATATATCAAATTAATCATCTTTTGATGATCTTCGATTTGACATCCATATTGTATATATAAAATAAATAAATTATATTTATCTTTATAATAATAAAAAATAATAATATTTATTAAAATTCATTAGAAAAATAAAATTATTTCTCAATTGATATATTTATATTTAATGTAGTTATATATTGTAAGTTAAAAAAAATAGTATAATATAACACAAGTAATTCGCACAAATAAAAAGTATCATAATAAATATATAATAATATACATATTCTTATAAAAGGTATTTAAATTTTCAAACTATTTTTTCTCATTAATTTTAAATTTTAAGAAAAAAATTTAGCAAGCACCCGTGTAATACACGGGTGTTGTACTAGTTAAAATTATAAGTTAGATAATGGATATGACCATTAGTAAAAATAAAGAATATAGATATAAGCAATTTATATTACATATGAATTATTTATTATAAAGATGACATAAAATGGAACGAATAATATACTTTTTTTTTTGAAGGATCATGACAAATTAATTAGCTAACAAATCATCATCATTATCGTCGTCGTCATCATCATCATTTAGTATGAATTTATAGTTATATAGTATTTGTAGTAACTATTACATAATAGAATAATTAAAAATATATAACACTTAATTAAAATTAATATAACACTTAACTAATATGAGTTATAATGGTTTGCTTCTACAACTAACTGAAAATATTGAGCGTCAAAAATTTTCTATTTGCAATAATTTGATAGTCCACTTACACACAGAAACACACACATCCACCTACCTAGGCCGAGCACGGGACTTAGAGAATTCCGAACAGTTCCGAAATCACTCCGAACTGAAAAATAATCGTTGACCGTTTGACTTTATCCGAACCGAACTGAACCAGAAAAATAATTGGTGCAGTTCTGGGTATTTCACAAATATCCGTACCGAGAACCGACTGGAACCGTCTCATATCGTATCAAACCGAAGAACTGAAAATAAGAACCAAATTATAACACTACATGTGTATTATTAATATATTTTATATCAATTTTGGCTTATATAATTTAAAAAATTTTAATATACAAATAAATATAACAATAACAATTAACTTCACTTAAATTTCATGCTTAGTAATAATTGATCAACAATTGAATTTTTTCTGCTATAAAAAAATTATTTAAAATGGTATGAAATGTTAAAGTATATTTTTTTAATAAAAAAATATATTATATTTTGTTGGTATTTTAAATTTTTAATATTAATTGCACAATTTAGTCTTAACGAAAATTTAGAGTTACTTCTAAAGTTGATTTCAAAATAAAATTTTTAATATGAGGAAATATTGATGAATGTTGTTGTTTTTCTTAAAGCATATAAAATTAAATAACTAAAATTTAGAGTTACTTTTAAAGTTTATTTCAAAATATAATTTCTAGTATGATGAAGTATTGATGAATGGTGTTTATTTTTTAAAGCATATAAAAATTAAGATACTAGTAGTCATTCAAAAAGTTTTTAAAAACATAAGAAATCTCCAAAGATCTGAACTGAACCATACCGAACCGAAATGAACCATTCCGATAGTCCCAATTTTTTGGAACGGCGAAGATCGAGTGAAGACTGAAAAATAAAAATCTCTGAATTTTGGTATGGTTCTGGAGATTTATCAATCTCTGAACCGTGCCGTCGCATGCTCACCCCTACACCCACTCACCCCATACATACAGAACAAATTAAAAATATATTTACAATTAACAAAAAAAATTAAGCGAAAAATTTTATTTATATATATTAACAGGAGGCACCCACCAAAAACACCCCCACACACATATACAGATAGATAGATAGAAAAATTGATTAAAAACATATTTGTAATTAATTGAACATTAAGACAGATATAAAATTAGATTGAAAATAGACTTATAATTGTAATTTATTTATTGTGGGATATATATATATATATATATATATATATATATTCAATTACAAACAAATTTATTGGCACAAATTTTTAGATGAGATAACATAACCATTAGGCAGACTGAGCTGTCATACTTCATGATTAAAAATGCACACTTATACTATCAAACTAGTACACAACTCTCCCATGATCAAGTCAATGTCTTATTTTTTTCATATAGGAAAATTATCCCTAACTTACCTCCTCTTATCCTACCTCATTACCTTGTTGACAAAGACTTTACCGTTAAAAGGAAACCCCCTTCCCTCAAGATTTCGTATCATGAAAGACGTTATATTTCATGTGAAGTTGGTTTTCTAACTTTATTAGGCCTAGGCCCCCAATCAGCACGTTCTACCAAGCTAGCTGCGTCCCACCATAGCTCAACACTATATAATTTGACCTTATCACACTCG